GGAAGTACAGACGTTCCTCTTGTTGATAGCAGAGGAGCGGATCCAGCGAGAGCTTGATGGGGCGACGCGGAATGAAAACGTTTTTCAGGAGTCGCAACAATAAAGGCGGCGCAACTATAACGACTTGTGAATAATCCCGCCCACTCTAAAGCGGTACTGAACTGCAGTGGAAACGCAAACCGAGCCGACCCGTACCACGCAGTGGAAAAGCGCCATAATACAATGCTACACATGCACACAGACATAAACATATTAATTAAAGTCAGGGTTTTACAGCTAACTAAAACCATATAAACAATTATTGTTACTTGAAATAAAATAAAGATAAAATGAAAAAAAAAAAAAAAAACTATTTTAATTCACCTAGTTGCCAGGCAACATTCTTATTTACTTTGCGTTTAGTTTAAGTACTACAATAACAAATACAAAACTAAAACTATAAATAATAAAAACTATATAGACACATTTAAAAAAAATTATAAAACTGAAAATATAAAAATAAAGTCTAATTCAAACAAAAAGTACTATAGCAATGATACTAAAATAACTCCAACACACAAACACCAAACATACTACTGCAAACACACTGTTAAATCCTTGACACAAACAACATCACACATGAGTAAAACAAAAAGAGAATGAATGGAGGTGAATGAGTGTGTCAGAGCAATATCATTTTAGTTGTAAGTCACTTTGGATTAAAATGTCAGCAAAAAGAACAATGTTTATGGCGTCATATAGCATGCGGCCATCAGCGGCAGACGTGGATGAATCTACACTGAAAAAATTTGGTATAGGATTTACTTTGCTAGTAAATTTCACAAATAATTACAAAGAAATGGCAAGTAAAAATACATACATATATATATACATACATATATATATATATATATATACACATATACACACACACACGCACACACACATATAAATGTTTTTTCCCCTGGCCAAAATATATTGTAAATATATGCTAAATATATATTGTAAACAAACAGTAAAACTAAATAAAATATACTTTTGAAACTGGATTAATTTTTTTGGATCACTGTAAAGTAAGATTTTTATTCAAATGTGTTGTGTTCACATGTATTACAGATACATATGTGACAGATGTGAATGTATTTTCTCGGATTGAAATATATGGAGGTCAAATTATTTTGTAAACACTTTTTATAATATAAATATATTTATATTTTTTAAATATGTTTCAGTTTTTCTACTTTCAAATTTCACATTTATTTGAATGTTACATGTCATTTCTTTGCAATTGTTTGTGAAATTTACTAGCAATTTCTGAGTGAAAATAGTTTCAACACCAATTTTTAAGAACTGTAGAAAATGTTTTGGTGTAAATTGGCTTAAAGAAATAATGCTAACCATACAGTGTTTTAGCTTAACTTAAAAACTAAACTAAATATTTAAACCCACTGATACCTGTTCTGTAGTGACATGAGGGTTAGTAGATGTTGGTAAATCTGTTATCATTGTTGGTTTGTGCTCAAAACTAGCTAATTTTTCCTGTATTTGAGCTGCTTTATTAGCTGTCGGTGCTAAAGTCATGTTTACAGGCTGATTGAAGATGAGCTCTTTACCTGGTCCAAGGTAGAGTACCTTGTCTTGAGTGTGATGACCTCATCCAGGTGTGCTCTGAACTCTCGCCGCGACGCCTGGAGGAAGCCACAGGACAGTCATTCACCCCAAACACACACACACACACACACACACACACACAAACCTCTCCATATCCAATAGGCACAGATACAGAATCCATCTGCATTCAGTCAAACACGTTTATGAGCATGCGCTGCCACAAACACTAAAATAAACAAACACACACACACACACACGCACACACGTACTCTCTCCAGCAACACACAATAATAAAATACACTGCCGTAATGTGCACCGGTACAATGAAGATATGACCAGCTGAGCAAAATGAAAACTCACCCGCATTTAAAGCAACTCAACTGATCTAATGCTGTAAATCGTGGGTGATAAATAAGAACAAACCAACAGAAAAGAAATCATGGAGCTGGAGAAATCACTTGAATGACACTCGAATCAAGCTTCTCAAAGCGCTTTGACATATTAGGGCTACTACAGTGTTGGGAAACTAGTTTTTTCAAACTACAAGCTATTCAGATTGAACCTACAGTACAACTACAGTCAAGCTACATTACAAGTAACTAACAAAAAGTAGTCAGTAAACTAACTGAACTGAGGCTATAAAAGGGGTACTAATATCATTATAAATGTATAGAAAGTCATATATGAACATATTTATTTGTCTCTAAAACAATATATCATCAGAGCATGCAGTACAACCTGACAAAAAAAAGTATTATTTTTTAAAAATTTTGTTTTTGTTACCATTAAATTTTTAGTTTTTAATTGAAAAACAAATAAATAAAAATAAATAAATAGTTAGTTAGTTACTGGAAAAAGACAACATTTAAACTATTTTAATAGCGAAAACTATTTTAACGGCAAAAATCTAATATTGTGCATCCCTATAAATAACTGAATACTAAAAAAAAAACAAAACATCTCAACGCAGCATATAATATATACGTTTTTCAGTATAATATATAAGCTTCTAATTTATTGTATATGGCTGGAATATTGATTAAAACTTCTTTTTTAAATGTATAAAAAACAACTACTTTTTTAAAGATATCAATACAAACTGACAGATTTTTTTTTTTTGCTATTCAAAAATATAATCCATTTGTTACTGGAAAAACAACACAATTTTGTACTAACATGCTATTGATCACATCTCAATACAGTATAATATACAAGCTTGTAATGTGTCGTATATATGGATGGATTGTTGATTAAAACATTTTAATAACTAACTCTTTAGATCAAGCAGAGCTCATATAACTGCACTTTTAGATATCATGTATGTTTTACAGAGGTAATAACTAGAGGTCGACTGATACAGGTTTTTCATTGGTTGAAACGGAAAATCTGGAGAACAAGTTGGATGATTAATTGCCGATATAAATAATACAATTTAGTGTTAGCAATATAATGCACACAAAATTGCTATAGATGAACCATTGTTTTATTTATGGTAATCTCAAAATAGCCAAATATAATCTTCAATTATCATTAATTAACTGTCCTGGTCAATACTACTGCATCAGTCTATCACTAGTAAGAATAACCCCTCTGGCCATACATACATTAAAGTGTTTTATGGATGAGAAAAAATAATGTCAGAAATGCATAAGAAAAATGTAAAGGAAAAAATGTGATATGATTATGCTGATGGTCAAAACCACTTCAAAAATGAAAAAAATATCCAAGACTCGCATCTAAAAGTGCCACAAAAATGACTGTCAGTCATTTCTGCACTTGAGAAAAGCATGCATGACAAGACAGGAAGGGTTTCAGGCAGAGCAGGAAACAACAATCATCGCAGGCAGGAAGAAACATGTCGCATGGCAACATGCCGAGGTGGAGAAGAGCTGTTGCCATGGCGATGCGGCCCGAGACGCATGCAGGAATACCTCAGCAATGCTTAGGGTGGATGAAGAGGAGGGAAGCCGCGCCTGGGTGCCACGAGAAGGGGGGAGAAGAGAAGACAATTAAATATAAGAGCCAGCAAAGCCAAGCTGAGACACACACTGCTGCCCCCTGCTGGCCCGGAGGACTGCTGGAGCACCGCAAGCCAAAGCAGCTGGGAACAGAAGACATTTAAAAATAGCAGAAACTACGCAAATACAGCGCTTACACTCAGGTATTTGCTTCTGATCTGGGATTTGTGCTTGACATTTTCAAGGCAAGTTCATGTGTTTTTTTTCTGAATATCAACCTGAGCTCATTTACTTAGTGGGCAATCATTTCTGATCCCTGTAATTATGAGATGAAAATCGAAATTATGACTTTTAAATTTGAAATTATAACATACTAAGTCGGAATTATGACTTTAAAAGCCGAAATTATGACAAAAAGTCAAAATTCTGGCATACTAAATTGAAATTATGACATAAAAATGTGAAATTATGAGACAAAGTAGAAATTATGACTTTAAGAGTTTAAATTGACAAAAAGTCAAAATTATGACATACTAAATTGAATTTATGACAAAAAAACTATCAAAATTATGACATAAAAAACATAATTATTAGCTAAAAAAAGTTTAAATCATGACTTTAAAAGTCCAAAATCATTAAAATTATGACATAAAAATTCATAATTATGAGAAGTAATTGTGAATTGATAAAAGACATTGTTTTCCCAGTGGAATTTCCCAGTGGCATTGCTATATATTTAAGTCAGAATTTCGATTTTGTATGTCATCATTTCGACTTTTTAAAAAAAAATCTCATAATTATGACTGTTTATGTAATTATTGCGATTTGGTATGTCAAAATTTCAACTTTTTATCTCATAATTATGACATTTTTTATGCAATAATTTTGACTTTTTATGTCATAATTTAAAATGTTAATTTCATAATTATGACTTTAAAGCCATGACTTCCTAAAACATGATTTTTTTTTCTCACGTGTCGGAAATAGGCTTCCATAGATCCCAGTTTGATGTTAGCTTGGGGATAAAAATGTGGTCACATTAAATCCAATTTATATTGGATTCACAACACATACAGACGCAAACACAGCAAAGATGGAAAGATGGGTGAAGCATTTAACATGTTGCTAAACACACCAACTTTAACCTTGACATTTCCTAAACTTCCACGATCCAGTTAACTACATTACTGAAGATGATAGTTTTCAAAACAACAACACTGATGTTGATGTAATAAATATTTATGTAAATATTCAGAAGTTACTTCACATACTCATTATACACTACCAATAACAACTACCAACTACCAAAAATGTATACTTTTATTTAGCAAGGATGAGTTAAATTGATCAAAAGTGACAGTAAAGACATTTATAATGTTACAAAAGATTTCTATTTCAAATAAATGCTGTTTATTTGAACTTTCAATTCACTGAATCCTGGGAAATTTCCATTAAAAAAAATCTAATCAGCATATCAGCATATTAGAATGATTTCTGAAGGAAATGTGACACTGAAGACCGGAGTAAAAATCCATGCATGCTACAATACCATGGTTATGCCATTGTATTTGATCAATTCAAACTCATTTGCAAGTGCAGCTCATTTGCTGCTCAGCTAAGAAAGGAAGTTGCTTTAGGAAATAGGCTTCCATAGATCCCAGTTTGATGTTAGCTTGGGGATAAAAATGTGGTCACATTAAATCCAATTTATATTGGATTCGCAACACATACAGACGCAAACACAGCAAAGATGGAAAGATGGGTGAAGCATTTAACATGTTGCTAAACACACCAACTTTAACCTTGACATTTCCTAAACTTCCACGATCCAGTTAACTACATTACTGAAGATGATAGTTTTCAAAACAACAACACTGATGTTGATGTAATAAATATTTATGTAAATATTCAGAAGTTACTTCACATACTCATTATACACTACCAATAACAACTACCAACTACCAAAAATGTATACTTTTATTTAGCAAGGATGAGTTAAATTGATCAAAAGTGACAGTAAAGACATTTATAATGTTACAAAAGATTTCTATTTCAAATAAATGCTGTTTATTTGAACTTTCAATTCACTGAATCCTGGGAAATTTCCATTAAAAAAAATCTAATCAGCATATCAGCATATTAGAATGATTTCTGAAGGAAATGTGACACTGAAGACCGGAGTAAAAATCCATGCATGCTACAATACCATGGTTATGCCATTGTATTTGATCAATTCAAACTCATTTGCAAGTGCAGCTCATTTGCTGCTCAGCTAAGAAAGGAAGTTGCTTTAGTTACCAACATTTTTTCTTTAGTATAACATGCCCTGATGAATCACATACAACAAGAGCAGAAACATGTATTATCAATTTTGATTTCATGTTGACTGGAAATGCTCACAGCGTGTGACAGGAATCATTTGGTACTTATTGCATATAAAATCAGCACTGCGTCTCACATTTATGCATGCAAGGTGTCCTTGTTGTCCATGAAGGAAGTAATATATCTTGCAGGCTGCAGCCCACCCGAGTTTAATGTTCAAGTGAAATTCATGTACTACAGATATCATCTTTAGAAGCATTATTTATCGCCACACACACAGCGCTGTTGCCGCAGCGTACGGCACTCTGTTTCACATGTGCAAAGTCCTCAAAGAAGTGTTTTTCTCAAGGATGATTTAACACAAATAGAGCTTGACCCAAATGACTCCAAAAGACTTGAATTGTTGCTAACAATGTGATACTCCAACAAAATCGCAATTCTATTTTACGTTTTACGTCTAATTCATTGATCTCATTTGTAGGTTTTCATACAATCTGCTTGCGTCCCAGTGATGGTTTGGTTTCATGCTTACTTTTTTTCCGAAAAATCTTACATTTTCGTACGACTCACATACTGTAGAATGAATTCATTTGAAATGGCCACCTTACCTTTTCTCATAAGATCGGGTTGAATATAAGAAGCATGAAATTACACAGACACGTTGGGCAAATTAAGTACTTTTATTGATACTTTTTAGCACTGGGTGAAATATAAGATAAACCAACATTTTGGCAATCGTAAATTTTCAGCCGAAACAGCAATTTTCGGTTTCAGCCCGAAATAGAATTGACCTGAACAGTGATGTTTAATTATAATTTCTCTGATGTCATGTTTTCAATGTGTCAGTGTCCATTTTGTATAACTTAGTTTTTATTTGAGTGTTGATTATTGAATAAATTTGATTAATTCATTGATTATTCATTAAAATGTACTTTCTATTTCGGTTTTCTGCCATGCATCCTGAATTTTCGTTTGTTACCTAGAATTTTCATTTTGGGGTATCACTAGTTATAATCAATATTTCTCATCTTACCTAAGATGAGATGTATTTATTTTTTTCTTTGCAATTTTTACGTTCACTACAAAGGATAATTGCAATTCTGTCATTTTGGCCAAAATGAATGATCTTAGGACCTTTTGGAACCGCTTTCGGTTTAGGTTAAGGAACAACCTAAGGTGTTTTGGGTGTCTTTACACAGCTGCGTTAAGGCTGCTCTGTGCTTGCTCAAAATTTAGTGTATAAGTGCAATTCTGCGTAAAAGCCAGACTAAATTATGACTTCGGCCCCTATAGCAAAGTATACAGTTGTAATTGCGGTGTAAATGCATTTATGCCGCCTCTGACAAACATTAAACAGTCTGTGTAAAGATACCTAAATTCCACTTGTGAAGCGCTCATTTGCAGGGTAAATTTGGCATTAGACTCTGTATCAAACAAACAGTTCTATATTGGCATTGATGGTTACAACCTTTAACATCCATGGAATCTTTCCATTCCACAAAAAGTTCTTTATAAACAAAAAAAGTTCTAAAAAAATGTTCTTTTAAGAACTGTTCACTGAAAGGTTCTTTGGAGAACCAAAAATGGTTCTTCTATTGCATCGCTACCAAAACCTGCTTTTAGAATCTTTATTTTTATGAGTGTAGCCAGCATCCAGTATTCTTGATCCAGAGGATCTTACCTTTGTTGGTCCTGAACTGAAGCACTTGAACTACATACTAGCATGAGCTGAAAACACTGAGTTGCTCTAAAAGAAAGTAATAAAGTGTATCTATTTCATAAGACATTTTTTAAGTAGGCGGTGATGGCAGCTGAGCTGCTGTGAGCGCTATCACATATGAATACTTTAAGGAATAATTCACATAAATATGGGAAAAAATGTAATTAAACATATGCAACTTTAAAATTTTCCTTGTTGCACACAAAAAAGTAAAGTATATAAATAAGTTATCATGGCATAGTATCTATTCGCAACTAAATTAGATTTAAATTCATATTTTCAAACAAGTTTATTCAAATTGCATACGCATAAATCTGTTAATTGTGAAAACAATTCAATTTAATCAGTTAAAAAGTATGAACATGGTTTGCGGAAAAAAGAAAAATTAAATGAGTTAATCTTGTTCGATTTAATGTATGAGATCGAAACAAATTGGATTTATTAATGATAAATATATAAACCTGTTTTTGTGTATTTAAAACACATCAAGTTTATTACAGAAATCTAATTCTTGATTCATTTATATACGACTGATAAATATGCATCACATTAAATTTACTAGGTTATTTATATTTAAACTGTGCAATCCAAATAAATAGACATTTTAAATGCAATTAACATGCATAAATCTTTAGGCCTAAACATTTTTGAGTATGTTGCACAGAAAAAGTAAGTCAAGATTGAAATGAGTGAGTAAATGATAACATTTTGGATGAACTCTCTCTTTAAAACCTCATATCATGTCTGGCTTGGTTCCCGAGCCTCAGATTTGACCCCTCTGAAGGGAGCGAGGGCGGCTAACAGGACACACACAATCTGCTCAAGACTGCTAATGCACAGCCAAGCGGTTTCTGCTGTGCTGTGTTTAATAATGCTTTAGTAGGTGCTTCTGTAATGCAGCTATCAGGATGAGAAACTACACCTCAGATAATCTGTGGACACCATAATGCACTAAAGCAATTTACAGCATTAA